ATGAAGGAAAACATGGAGACTCGATGCTTTTCTATCCGAGCATTGGAGCGTTCTATTATTGGAAGATCATCCACGAGCATTCTGTCGATTCTACGTCCACCCAGTCCTGGCCGTGCCGACCTAAGCTGTCCGTAAACGTCGTCTATGTGGAAATTTACTGCGCCTGTGAGAATAGCCTTACCGCAGGCAGAGTTCGACGTAATCTCAATCCTCACGTAGTAACTGTGGACGACCATTTAGTATTCCATCAGTGGACTTGATATCGATCGACGAACGTTAACACGTGTTTTATTCGAATTACGTAAATAGAGGGAGAGAGAGAGATAGTGAGTGAGTGGGCTAGAGGGGGTGGGGTGGGAGGAAGATGGGACGAAGAGGGAAGAGCACTTTCGATGGCAGCCTAATCTGAATTCTTGATCGTCAAACACGCCACAAGGCGCCGCGACGCGTCGCACCACTCTGTTACCCTCCCTTCCAACCCCCCACTCTGAAAACCCCCTATTGGCTCTCACATATGGCAGCCATCATTGATTCGTCCTGTTGTACAATCGAACAATCGAATCTTGAGGATACCGTAACTCCGGTTGACAATTTCAATGCTCCGACGAATTTGCCGGTGACGGAGGGTGGAATCATCCCTCGGCGTTTTCGAAATATTTTCAGTACTTTAATCCTTTTGCGAGTAAGAGGATTTTCTCGGAAATTCGTATTGCGTCATGGGAAATTTCTGAGATACGTTCCGAGCTTATCTATATTATGCACAGCTGCTTAAACTGAGAGGTACAATACGGCGTCACTGTAATACCACGAGAGTTTCAGGTTTGTTCGGTTATTAGGAAATCAATGCGATTTCGGGGTTATACCGGATAACGGAGTTTCGAAAGAACATTATCAATATGAAAATCCAAAACGTCACGGTGCACAGGTGATTCAAAGTCAGACTGGCGTAGACGCGTTCACGCGGTGAATTCCAGTCGTAATCTCCGTCGGTAAAGAAGTTCGCCGTTAAATCTTACGACGTCGTAAGTCAACTGCACGCAGCCGACCCAGCGAGGCGTTCACTGTTTTTAGTGCGAGTTGCTACAAAAGTCCAATTACAGTGTTAGAGAGCCCGAGTGCGGTTAAGATAATTCAAATAAAGTCGCATAAAATAAAGTTCCGTGTTTTTCTTTCGTGTGAAGAATTTAGAATTACAAAAAAAAAAGAACACGTGCGTATACCCACTGTACGATGTACGTATGGCGGGTATGATAAAATTTTATTGGTTATCTTACCGACGTAATTTTCTTCCCTGCAAGAAACGTCACCTCGAGGTCATCTTCGAAAACGACTTGGCAAATGTATCGTTCGAAATTCGAGACGTGACGACATAACCTATAATGGATTTTCGGAACGGTCGAATCGCGACGGTGCTGCCACCGCCCCGGGTGGCAGGAATCGCCGACTTTTCAATATCTCGACGTAAACATTTATTGGCTTCGCGAAATATCCTCCGAGTTTACCTCCCGCCTTGCCAACCCTCCCTTTTATTGCTAACCACTGAGCCTTCTCTATCGATATCTTCGACGATAATGCCAATCTCGCGCGGTACCATTTTCCAGCTTTGCATTACAAAGGAAGAAAACGAAAAGAGAAAAAGAAAAAGAGCGAGCGGAGGTGGGTGGAAAAAAAAAAAGGAATTCCGTAAAAGTAACTCCAACAGATTTCTCACAGACGCACCACGCCCCCGCCAATAGGCAATTCCGCGGAACTAGAAATAAGGGATGATATATATTATATAAGTCAGAAATCGTGAAACGTGTCATTCGGTGACGTCGTATTATTAAACGAGAGAAAGACGAGAGAGATAAGAGGAGTAGAAGGGAATATAGGAAATTCAAGTAAATCGTTGAAATTGTCCAAATTTTCAAGGGAAGCATCCCCTATATCCCAGTGGTAAGGATTTCCTCCATCATCCCCCCTCCAGCCCCCCCCCCCCCCC